TAAAAACCGAATAACGAACTATAATGTATACTTAATACTAATTATTTGAAAATTATATGAAAAACTTTAACACATCATTTAATTAAATCCATGACATTATGCCATGTAAATTCGGACTCATTGGATAATATCAGTCTTAATTTCGAAAATTGAAAATTGCAATTATAGTAAAAAAATCCAACTATAAACTCAAAATTAGGTCTGATATCAAAGTGCAATATAATTTTTCAATAATTCTGTATTATTGAAAAAATATATATATTGACTTTTGATATGCTAACATTATATTTTGTTGCTTCTTTATTGAATATCCAATTTTTCTGTGTCCGTAATTGAAAAAAATGCATTCTCCACTAAGTCAAAAAAAGGCTTTTGGAAGATTTAAAAATAATGAAATCAAAATATTAATTTATAAATTATTCATCGGTTCTAAAACCATCATCAGCTGACGCTCTATATTTAATAACATGCATTTTTCCATCTTCATCAAAGAATCCATAGTGACCCCTGACTAATCCATCGTTGTCTCGTTCTTCGAATCTAAATTGACGACTGCTTCTAAAATATTGAATTGAATAAAAAATAATCAATTGAATTAGAATTATTTTCAGGAAAAAAACATGATTACCAATCGTATGTTTAAATTAACGCTTTAAACTGGATGAAAAAGTTGCTCAAAGTTTCTATTTTCATTTATGAATTTAATTTACAAAATTAATAATTATAAACCTAATTTCTATAGAATTAACTTTCATTATAGTATTTTTGGAATAATACATTCGTGTTGGACAAACGCGATCAGGAATAATGGTAACTTGCGCTTAATAAGGAGAAAGTACCGCAAATAATAACTCTTAATTCTAGACTAGATCGTTATATGAAAAGTAATGATATTACGCATATTATGTTATAGGAATTACATTTGAGGCAAATAGAAAAATAAATAGATATTGTTCAGATATTATAAAACGTAATTGCAACCATAGGTTTAGTATACAATTCAATATTTTATTAGAAGTATCAAGTGTTCGGTTTTAAGAGGCACAACTAGTGTGAAATTTAAAAAAAAATCGAATTTTCAATTTTTCCATATTTCGATAGGTTATACCTTTAAAAATAACATACCAAAATTTTAAATCGATATTTTAAATAGTTTTTGAGTCACAGCCATTTAAAGAGTATATATATAGTATATAATATAATGATCATTTAATCTTTAAACGCGTTTTTCTCGAAACAGCATTTTCCGAATTTGCTGCAGCGATTACTCAAAAACAAATGATCCGATCACTATCAAATTTTTTTTACATGTTCTATATATAGCTGCCCGTATCGGATCAAAAATCGAATTTTGGCAGTCCAAAAACGACCAAAATTTTGGGTAAAATTCGACTTTTTTTTAAAAAAACGCCGATATTTTGTCAATTTTTGTTCCTTCATCGTAGTTCATTTTACAGATAATATTATCTAGTTTAACGAGAAATCACCTTTTTTTTAGGGCGGTTACACTAGTTGTGCCCCTTAAATTGAATAAATAGTGGCTAGTAAATAATATTAATAATAAGAGTGCTAATTATTTTACTATCATAAGATTCGAAATTATTATTATTATCATAAGAACCGTAATTATTACTATTAACGTAAGAATCTATTTCCAAATTATTACTTTACTAATAATAAAAAATATAAAAATTTACTAAATATCCGCCAATTGGCATTTGAGAAGCAATTTGCAAAACAAGACACTATGAACTTATCAAATGTAAATGTAAAGTTGTAAAAACTATAGATTGTAATAACTCAGATATTAATAACTGATGTAATCATAACTTTTGAAATTACTTTGAATCCTTAATCACGACAGCATGTTTATCACGTTCACTGGGTTTTGTAGCGCGCGCCACTCCCAGAAGAATAAAGTTATTTAAGTTACTTCTAGAGTTATTCTATAATTTAATTTACTGACAAACTATGTAAGATTTGTAATTTAAAAATGTCCTAAGAATTATATGATTTCTTCTCTACATACCCTTTGCCAGTGTCATATCCAAATTTGTAGCTCTGTGGACCATCATGACCGTGCATTTGGAATTCCACTCTCTGTTTACCATCGGTCAAGGCACCCAATTTTGGTTTCACAGATTTAGCCTTCTTCGTCTTTGTTGGTTTGACCACTTCAACAATCTTCTCTGATTCTTCCTCATCGTCCTCCTCAGAACTGTTGGCCTCTGCAATAGGTTTAATATAACTCAAACGTGGTACAACTGCTTCACTTTCGCTATCAAAGATTGGTGGCAGTGGTTGTCTGGGTAAAATTTTCTTTTCAGTTTTGCTCTCGATAATGTGTTTTGATAGGCGTTGGGTTATCTCCTTTGGTTGGCTATGTTGGATGTATTCAGATTGTGGTGATGAGCTTTCGAAGAATTTTTGTTGTGCCCCTTTTGGTGCTACTTTAGGCAAAGCGTCATCAGCGTAGAATTTTAAGTAATGTGGTTTATTTTTGAAACCTAAGAATTTCTTGGGTAAGCTACCATATCTCGATTGAGGGAACACTTGAGGTTTGCGTACTTCATCGGTGTTTGTAAAGTTCATTCGTGTGCTCAGAGAAAACTGGACTGGTTGCTCTCTACTCGAAGCACTATTTGGCTAGGTAAGTAAGAATCTTGTCCTTTTGGTTGTTTCTTATGAATTTCTGGTGCTTCTGGTATAGTTATTATGTAAGGTTCTTGTACAGGCTGCCTCAAATAATAGTCAATGCTGTCTTTAGATGGTGCTTGAAGTTCAGTTGCAGGTTCTGGTTGTTCTTCGGGTTCCTCTTCGGCTACGATGAGAGGTCTGGACCATTTTCGACTATCGTGGCGAGAAGCTATTGCCGCATTCAATATCGCCACGCTTGACGCAATGGTCAACTAATTGATAAAAAACATATATGACAAAAAAACCTCATCAAAAAGCATTCATTACTAAGAACTAAAAAAAATGTATTACCCCGTCGCAAAAAACTTTAATTTGAGTATTTATTCGCATAATTATTCTAATACTTTGATTAAAAATGGGCATTTGTAATTTAAAATAAATAGTTGATAATTAACAATTACATATAAAAATCTATTAATAATGCACGTAAGCACATCACGTACTTTATATATTTGCGTGATAGCTAATTTGAAAACTCTATTTCATGTGTAGCGATTATACAATAAGGAAATATCACATTTGATTTCTAATCGTAATACACTTATACATTTTAAATTAATGTAATTAAGTTGTAAGGAAGATTAAAAATTCGCATTATTTTTTTTGTTATTATAGACAGATTAAAAATTCATTAAATAAATCTTAAATCGGTCTAACATATAAATAGGAGAAAAGTAAAAATTAAGCAATTATATTTAGCTAAAAATATTATCTCCAAATTTGCGTTTTGACAAAATAGGTATTGTCTAAAAAAATTATCGTAGAATTTAGCACAGTCATGGGCATTTGTAAAAATCCATTAGGTTCATATAAATTTTTTCTGATAACTTTATAACAATTACAATAAAAAAAACTCACAACAAATAGTAGATTCATATTCTTGGTAAAATGTTCTATTCACAATTTATTTTAAATCACATACAACAATTGTATTAACACTTCTTGTTCACTAAGGCACTTGTTCACTTATGTTAAAAGCATTAAGATAGAAGCTATATATACCACTCCCGACACGAGCCAACCGTTGACAAAATCTCCTTCCACAACAATGGACGGTTATAAGAAATTATTTTAATTGTTTAATAATATTACTTGATATTGATTGATTTTCTGTTGAACAATTGTATACACATTTGAGCAAAAATGTAACAGATTAAAAAATAAAGAAGAATATAACATTTCTAAAAAAATTTCAGTCATCTGAGATACAAAACTAGCTCTTCAATATCTGTTTTCAATAACATTAAACTAGTTTTGAATATGACCAAATTACACAAATTTATTTCATTTTTAAATATAAAAAATACTCGATGGCTCACTGATATTTAATAAACTGAACAGATTTCCACCATTCCGTTGTGAAAATAATTCAGATGTAAAATTATCAGTCATATTTTTTACAAAATTCCAGAAACTTGTAAATGTTTTAATTAAATATTTCAGAATAAATTTATGTTATTTATTATTTAAATAATATGCTGAAAATATATATTTAGATAAAAATACCAAATAATTGAGAATATTTTATGTACTTAACATAACACGAAAAAAAACGAAATCTGTGGCGCAAAAATTTCATCAATAGCAAAATCGTATTAGTAGTACTAATAAACGTATTCGTTATATTTTTTTAATTAGTACATAATATTTTATTTGCGATGCACAATATTTGTAATCGTCAACGATAAATATTACTTTATTTTTAACAAAATTCATTAGTTTCATCGGTTTGTGTGATAATTGACAAATTATGTGATACATAAAATAATATAAATAAAATTGTTGAGTCATTTTTTCACCCTGCCTAATATGGTGTTGATTTATGTGTTTAGTTCATTTACTACTACGGTTTAAATTTGAAAATCTGTTAGAAAAGTTTTCCTTTAGAAACTAACGGTAATAAAAATGTAGTCTCTAAATTTAGATGTATTTTTTGTCAATCAAATCAATGTTTTTCTTTTAACGTCGGTCATCAACCAATACAATAATCGAAAGCTTTCAGGAAAATGCTGATCAGGAAAATTTATGATTTGCGAATAATAAATGATCCATAAAAATGTAATTTATTTAAATTTTTATTTCCTTATGCTTTATGATGTAATAAGACGGAAAGAGACCAGGGGCAAATAACATAATACGATCGATAACATAATCGATATATACAAAAACATAATATACTCCATATGTGGATACGGCTATATTATTATATGGCGGCGGAATAAAAATAATGCATGCGGTTTGTTTACACATTAGTTATGTAATAGAAATATTAGTGAATTGGGACAGACTTTGAATAATATGATATTCTAAATGATAGATTTTGAATACTCTGATAAGATATTGGAGTAACAAATAATCAAAGCACTAGTAAGTAATTCACTAATATAGAATACATCAACTATTTCCTTGAAGTCATAGAAAGTGGTAATATAGTTCTTGTGTAGTTTATAAACCGATTTTAACCGCAAGGTCTGTGGACTTTGAAGTTCATTATGGCAAAACCAATTATTGATCCACCATACATCAAAAAACAATTTTTTAATAATCATAATATTTGCGAAGTATAAAAGGAATGAATGTAGAATAGTTCATAAGGTTTTACATCAAAACTTGGTACTTTCTTCCCATTTTCAGTTTTGATCAAGAATAAAGCATAAATTTTTTTTCCTCTTTAAAAGAAAGGCTAATATTAGTTAATTGATATGGGAATTCATCGGTTGATTGATTAAGTGCGTTCGATCAAGTGCAACAGTATCAATTTCACATCGTGACATAAACGGCGAAAGTGCTACACTATCATTGAAGATTTGTCGAGAATTTGATATAGAAACCCGCAAATAAATTTAAAACAATCGAAAACAACTTTAACGAACCCGAAATGATTGTCACGCGTATTAAGATTGTTCCTCGTGCGGTTGTTCCCATTAGGTCGAGATTACATGGGAAACGTAATTTATCGAATATATGGTAATTAATGGTAAAAATGAAAAATAAGGTTGACATACATATTGATTTGACACACAATAAATATAAATTTATTTTTGTTTGACATCAATCAGAGCTAAGAGTCCTATGAGATGTTGTGATGATACTCTTTAAGAGGCAAATCAATGGCGGATATAAATTGGATCTATATTTTTTTGATTAAAAATTTTCTTATACCTATGATGTATTTATATATATGAGTATATATTATAATTTATAATCATTTAGCTATGCCCATCATACTTTATATCACTAAAGCATATCTATACCATTAGTATTTGTAAACAAACATGTTATGCGGAATATTGAAAAAAAATAAAGTTTTTCTATATTAGTCATCCTATAATTAATTCTAAATTAAAAATCTTAAGTATGTATAGAGTTACATAATCACTCGAAAGCAATCAAAACAATTTGCTATTGAATTAAAAAAAAAATCAAATAATAAAATGATGTAAAACAAGTTCGAACTAGTATTCACTGACTATAGTAATTTGATTTAAAATAATGACTTCTACTAATACTTCTACTAATGACATCTACTCTAGAATCAATAAAAAATTACAGCTTTATATACCTAAAATTAGTCATTTACTAACTATTTTCTTTTATTGCTAGATCGATATTACGCAATTTATCATTTTATTTGTGGCTCCGACACATATTCCCATTTCCGTAAATACACATAATGGAAAGTAATAGTTATTTAAAATTTTTATTGGTTTTTTTGTAAAAGCAAAAAGTTTATAAATTTACTTATTTCAGTCGAATAATAAAAATATTTTATTAAAAAAATTAAATTTTGTATATGTATAAACATAATACTTCTAGTATTATAAAAAACTAGCAAACCCGACGAACTCCGTTTCGCCACCAGATGGTTTCGTGAGAAAGATGAAGAAATTTTTTGTTTGTTTTATATTTGAAAAGTAAAAATTGATTTTTTTACACAATAGTAATGAATTTATTTCGATTACAAAAATAAAGTGTGTTTTAGTTGAACTTCTCTAAGAAAATGAAAGTGAATCCGCCAATTATCCGTTTCATTGAAGTGCTCTTTTGTAAACCACATTTTTTGTTTTTTGGTCTGACGTTAACACAAACAAAGCGGATGGTTTCCAAACTCGTGAACAGGCAACGTATAACTGCCCATGTAAAAAATTTTGATTTTCTAAATAATCTATTTGAAATTTATCCCGCAAACACAAAGCGATTGGCCTTGCGACTTGTTAATTGTCATCGCGAACGCAAGGCGAACTGGAAATTGCAATCGTTTGAAGTCAAACGGAAGACCAGTCGGAATCATTGGTATGCCACCAAATTGTCAGCAATTTTTGATTGAATGGTGAAATTCAGTGCGTGTACACTGTACATCATTATTCTTTACGGCAAGAATTGCTCGTTGACTTAACCAAGCATAATTCTGATAATTCTCACTAATGTCATTACTCGAATTTTTGATTACGGTGCGTGAAGTTCCAGCAATTTGCATTAAGGCACGATGCCATGCACCACTAATTTCCTTAGCTATAAACCTTGCGGAGCCCGAGACCTTTCTAACCAATGCAAAATTGTCGAAATCGGTTTGTGCGTTCTGGAGTTATATCGTCAGGAAAGAAAACCCAAAAGATAATATGTAGAGTGCAATTTCTTTCTCACAAAAATCGTTATGTGAGGGTTACATTATGGTAACATCTTAAGGATACATTATGGTAACTAAACGTTACCGCATATTTTTTATGCCAGTAAAATTTTACTTTGTGATATTTATAATAAATTGAGTTTCTTAAGTCCATGATAAAGATTTATGTTACCCGAGCCTTAGCAGCTTACGTTACGAGTTTAGTGTAAAATTGCCGTATATGAGAAAATTCGTTGTTACGCTCATGAATACTTTTCAACCGGAAACGCGCCGATAGAAAATAAATATAAACCAGTGCAAACCGAGAACAAAAAAAGGGAAAATGACGAACAAACCGATCGGAACCACTTTCACACTCGATGCGCGCGTTCGAACTACGTAACAGGGCTATGAGATACCGAGAAGGAAAAACTCTATTGAAAACTAACTCCAAAGTCAGGAAAATTGTAAGAAATAATAATAGATAGTCAATATTTAGCTGGAATTATTAAATGACATGCACGGACAAAATAAACTGCTAACAATATTCTTTCTTATTTTTTGGACAGCAATCAGAAGTTAGCAGTTCTATGAGCTGTTGTGATGAACCATCTCCGTATGTGTCTTTTTTAAAAGGCATCAACATTTTTAATAATAATGACATTAGACAATTTATATCAAATTTCTGTTAATATTTTCTTTTGTTCCTATGATTTTTAACTATTCTGCCAATGTCGGTAAAATATGTATTTTGCAACAGACAAACCCAAATATTGTTAATATTTTCTTTTGTTCCTTTGATTTTTAACTATTCTATCAATGTTCGTAAAATATGTATTTTGTGCCAGCCAAACCCAAATATTGCAACTGCAGAGACTACAGTCAAAAGCTCTAAAATTAATTACCAAAGCGCCCTAGTACGTCCTCAACAAAATTATATATATATATATATATATATATATATATATATATATATTATAATGGATTTAGTTCATAAAGAAATGAACAATAGAATCATATTAACCAACTCAGAAACCACGAAAATGATGTAGTCGTATCAACTGCTGACTTTTGCAATACCAGGATAAGATTGAAGAAAAACCAACCCATATATTTAAAATGAAATTTAACCGAATTAAAACAAGTGCAACAATAGACACAAATCAAGATATACATGAACACTACACGAGACAACACAACAATTTTCACATTGAACGCAATAGAAAAAAGAATTTGAGAGAGAATGTCATATGGAGTGCTACCAAAATATATAACGAATTGCCAGACTATATTAAGATGACCAATGATAATGATAATTTTAAAAGAAAAATAAAGAAGTACTATATGGAA